TTCCCCAATTTAGGGACTAGGCAGCCGAAAGTATAGCTGCTATTTGGATGAATGATTAACATCAGGAAGCGTCCAAAATTGGATGAATGCAGTTGCTGAGATACTACACCCACCTTATTCACTGTACTAACCATCTCCCACCAGGTCCTACTGCAATGCAGTTGTATGCACGGAGCCACAGTCATTTCTCCATTAAAGACAAAAACTTGGTTATGCGTAGCACAGGGGGAAAACCCACCCTAAATATGGGGTCAGGTCGCCAGGAGCCAGTGTAAGGATTAAACCTGTACTCTCGGCTCTGTTCTGTATCATATTCCAAGTCATCTTGCCAATTGAGTTAACTTATCCCCAAAACATTGAGATTTGTTTTTCCCCCTTTATTTATTAATGGGGTAAGGGCATCACTGACTAGGCAGCATTTATTACCCAGAGAGCAGTTCAGAGTCAGCCACATTGCTGTGGGTCTGGAGTCACATGTAGGCCAGACCAGGTAAGGATGGCAGTTTCTTTCCCTAAAGGACATTAGTGAACCAGATGAGGTCCCCCCCCCACCCATTCAGCAATGAATTCATGGTCATCATTAGACTCTTAATTCCAGATATTTTATTGAATTCAATTCCACCATTTGCCGTGGTGAGATTTGATTTAGAATCCCTAGTGTGGAAACAGGCCCTTCGGCCCAACAAGTCCACACCAAACCTCAGTGCATCCCACCCAGACCCATCCCCCTATAACCCACCAAAACTACACATCCCTGAACACTATGGGCAATTTAGCATGGCCAGTCCACCTAACCTGCACATCTTTGGACTGTGGGAGGAAGCCGGAGCACCCAGAGGAAACCCACGCAGACACGGGGAGAACGTGCAAACTCCACACAGACAGACAGACACCCGAGGCTAGAATCGAACCTGGGTCCCTGGTGCTGTGAGGCAGCCGTGCTAACCACTGTGCCACTGTGCCACCGTGCCGCCCAGATTTGAACCCAGATCCCCAGAATATTATCTGTTTTCTCTGGATTGACAGTATAACAATAATACCACGAAGCCATTGCCTCCCCTATAAGTCAAAAGGAAATCAACGCTGCTTTCAGACCTCTATAACAGTGCATGTGCTCCACCCAGTGGTTCACTCTTGTTTCTGCAACTTATAACTTCACACATTCCTTCTGGAGTGTCTAACTTCAGGGACAAACTTGTAATTATAAAGTACCTTTCGTCATGACCTGAGGACCTCGCGGAGCTCTTCAGAGCCAATGCAGTACCTTCTGAAGTGTAGTCCTTGTTGTAATGTGGGGAAAGTGGCAGTCAGTTTGTACACAGCCAGCTCCCACAACAGTGATGCATTAATGAATGAATGAATGATTTATTTATTGTCACATATATCTTGAAGACACAGTGAAAAGTGTTTTGTTGCCACTCTGGTGCCATGTTGAGTTACAATAAGGATAAAAAGAAATTACTTAAAAAAAAGTTCATCTTCTGTTCAAGTTGCGGGGGGTCAAGCACAGCTTCAGGGCTTCTGTAAGGTCTCTGCAAGGTGTTCTGGTCATCAAGGGGTCCTGCTCCAGGATCAGCAATGATAACGCTGATGCCCCAGGAGACCCTGGCTCTGCCTCCCTCACCTTGCGGACACCACCAAGAGTCCAGGCTCCAGGCCTACTGCCCCTACCAAGAGCCCAGGCTGTGGGCCTACTGCCCCTGCCAAGAGCCCAGGCTCCGGGCCTACTGGCCCTGCCAGGAGCCCAGGCTCCGGGCCTACTGCCCCTGCCAAGAGCCCAGGCTCCGGGATGAGCAGATCATTTAGATTTTGCTGATATTGTCTGAGCACTGTTGTTAGAGGTGTTGTGTCAAGCAGCTCCAGCTGATGTCTCAGGGAGATAAAAGCATCTGAGGCAGATGAAAAATCAAGGGAATGTTTTGCCCGAAGTTCAAGTCAGTATTTATCTCTTAATTAACATCACTAGAAATTAAAGTTATTGATTTTGGGAGCTTGCTTTCAGAAAATTATTGGGCAGTTATTATAAATGCAAATAAGTTCTCCAGCAGAAGTTTGCGACTATAAACCTGGCCCTTCTTGAAACTAAGATGTGAAAACCAACTCTTGATTGGGGATGCAGTGGGGTTGTGGTAATGTGACTGGACAGAATCTCTACACCAAAGTTCTGGGGATCTGGGTTAAAATCCCAACATGGTTAATGCTGGAAAATTAGTTTCATTTAAAAAAAAAAGTGAAATAAATAAAGAGTTGGCCTCACAATGACTGTGTAGCTCTTTCAGTTATTGTAAAAGCATCACTAATGCCCTTTAGTGATAGAAATCTGCTGTCCTTAACTAGTCAGGCCTACATTTGACTCCAGACCCACAATGGGGTTTACTGTTAACTGCCCTCTGAACAATTATGGATAGGAAACAAATGCTAGCTGACCCAGCAATGCCCATGCACAGTGTTTGTGAAGGAGTAAAGAATACCACAGCTCTATTTGTTCCTGCTTAAGGCACTGTTTTCTTGTTAGTATTTTGTTGTGGTCACTTGCAAAAAGAAAAGGCGAAGTCACCACAGTCCCATGTTGCAAAACGATTTGAGAATCTACTCAGGGGAGTTTAGAAGAATGAGAGGTGATCTCATTGAAACATATAGGATTCTTAAGATGCTTGACAGGGTAAATGCTGAGAGGATGTTTCCCCTCATGGGGGAGTCTAGGACTGGAGGGCATAGACTGAGAATAAAGGGGCACCAATTTGAGACTGAGATGAGGACGAATTTCTTATCTCAGAGAGTTGTGTGTCTTGGGAACTCCTTGTCACAGAGAGCTGTGGGAGCAGAGTCCTTGTATCTATTTAGGGCTGAGATAGATAGATTCTTGATCAGGAGGGGAATGAAGGGTTATGGGGAAAGGGCAGGACAGTGGACATTAGGAAGACTGGATCAACCATGATCCTATCGAATGGCAGAGCAGGCTCGAGGGGCCAAATGGCCTACTCCTATTCTATTTCTTATGGTTTTATAGTCGCTGTCTCTCATTTGAGAGATAACTGGTGATGGTTGAATCTGAGGGTTACCACACTTCAGGTGAGGGGTGAGATTAAGGAAGTGGGACCTTCATGTTGACCCCTGCCAGCATATGAATTGAGCCCATGCTGGCACAAACCAACCTTCCAGCCAACTGAGATAAACAAACCTCAAGATCCTTTGTGCTGGCATCATCCATCCATTCAGGGGATTGCTGAACACTTTGCATTGGGAATCCTTGGTCTTAAGCCTGAAATTTTGTTATTATGAGGACAGCAATTGAAAACACCAAACCGTAGCCTTGAATTGAAAGTCTCAGGTGTTCTTGTGAGGACAGAGGTTCCACTCTCTTCAAATAAGGTCATGAAGAGAAGTGGAGCCATCCCTCATTAATGACAAGTTCCTATAGGCCTCAGGCCTTAAGGCAGATCTAAGCTCCTGCTTTCTCCCCGAGATATTACCGAGCTCATTTTAATAGCAACAGGGCAAACGAAGGATTGATTCAACTCCACTTTCCTGCCTGATCTGGATTGAGAGTTGTGGTAGATTTTGGTGAAATAGTGGAAAAAAAGATGGAGCAACTAAAGCAGGAGGAATAAGCAAAGTTCTCGAATAGTTAGGTAGATGAGAAGGAGGTCAGTCAGTCCATTTTGTGTCTGTTCTGGTTCTCGGTGGCTTGTCCCATTGTTTTTTTCAGGTTTTGAGATCCATGATTCGAATATTTCCACTAAACTCTCAGGCACTGCACTCAAATTCAAGCCACTCACTGTCAACAAAAGATCTTCCCTATGTCACCATTGCTTCTCTTAGTAATTGCCTTCAATTGGTGCCCAACCCTTCTATGAATAGTTTCTCCCTGAATACTTTGCCCAGATACCTCATGATTTTCATCATTTCTGAAAGTCTCTTCGAAGCGAAATAGAATTGTACTTGACAGAAGTTGGGCAATTGACCTACCGTGTCCTTACTGGCTTCCAAAAGAGCTACCCAGTTAGCTCCACTCTCCAGGTCTGCCTCTGATCCTGTCTTCTCTGAGGTTCTAGAGGACAATATCATGATGGTAACATTGTTAGAAATATGACTCAACAACTTGGGCTAATGTTCGCAGGATGTAAGTCTAGAGCCTACTAATTCATCACCAGTTGGCATGGATTCGATGGACCGAATGGCCTGATTCCACACTGTAGGGATTCTATGTTTGATGTGTTAATTCAAATTCAAATAATTAATAAATCCTAAAATAATTAATCGGACAGAGCAATAGTGGCCATGAAGCAACCAGGTTATGGTAAAAGCTCATCAGTTTCACTTTTTAGGTGAAGGAAACTGCCATCCTTACTTGTGCCTACAGGCTAATGTCTCTGGCTCGGTGGTTAGCACTGCAGCGCCAGGGACCTGGGTTTGATCCCAGCCTCAGGCGACTGTCTGTGTGGAGTTTGCACATTCTCCCTGTGTCTGTGCAGGTTTCTTCCGGGTGCTCCGGTTTCCTGCCACAGTCTGAAGTTGGGCAGGTTAGGTGGATTGGACATGGGAAATGCGGGGTTATGGGAATAGGCTGGTGGTGTGTGGCTGAGTGGGATGCTCTTCAAAGGGGTCAGTGTGGACTTGATGGCTGAATGGCCTCTATCTGAAGTGTAGGGATTCAGTGATGTGATGGAAGAGCCACAGTGATGTGGTTCACTCTTAAATTGCACCTGAAACATAGTCACAAACCACTCAGCAGAGTACCCCAGTAAAGTTGGCACTGCGTGTGTAATGATGGGAGATGGATTATAGCTGTTCACGTTTTCAAGGGCCATTAGGGATGCCCAACATCCGATGACTGAGCGAAAATACTAGCAACTCCTGTTTCTCTGACCTACCCATATAACCGAAGTCCTTCGTCCTGTGCTACTCAGCATTGTCTGTGAGATATTAATGACTTGTTTGACTGGAGTGCCAAACTGGAGATCAGGATTGATTTTGTCATACTCTTCTCTTTCAAACAGTCCATGTGGATTGAGAGGACCACATTCACTACGGCATACAAGATGCCTGGCATTCTCCGCTGGTTTGAAGTTGTGCAAACATCAATGGTGAGTAGTCAGAAACAGCGACTAAAACAACAGTTTGCATTACATGCTAGGTCATGGATGGTGCTGAATATCTAGCTCACAAAGCATTACTTTACAGAGGGTGTATTGCCGTAGAGAGAGCCAGCATGGACCTGATGGGCTGAATGGCCATATATTGTAGAACAGAGGGGCTTAGGGGCTCAGGGTCATAGTTCTTTGAAGTTTGCATTACATATAGACAGGGTGGTTAAAAAGGCATTTAGCATGCTTGCCTTCGTTGTTCAGTACTTTGAGTATGGGAGTTGGGAAGTCATGTTGAGGTTGTACATGCTGGATATTATTAAACTAGAGAAGGTTCAGAAGAGATTTACCAGGATGTTGCTGGGTATGAAAGGTTTGAGTTATGAAGAAAGGATGGATAGGCTGGGACTTCTTTCACTGGAGCGTAGGCTGTTGAGGGGCAACCTTATAAAGCTTCATAAAATCATGAGGGGTATAGATAGGATGAATTGGTGTCTTTTCCCCAGGATGAGGGGTATCAAGACTAGCAGACATATTTTTAAGGTGAGAGGAGAAAGATTTTAAAAAGATATGAGAGGCAATTTTTTACACAGAGGGTGGTTCATGTGTGAAATGAACTTTTTGAGGAAGTGGTGGATGTGGGCACTGTTACGTTTGATAAGTACATGAATAGGAAAGGTTTGGAGGGATTTGGGGCAGGAGCAGGCAGGTGGGACTAGTTTAGTTTGGGATCATGTCTTTCATGTGCTGCTTGGACCAAAGGGTCTGTTTTCATGCTGTATGACTCTATATATGTTATTATCACTATGTAAAAACTATTTTGCCTGGAGTGCCACCCTCACAGCTATTAAACATACCGAATTTTGAACGCTTAATCACAAGTGTGAGGCTTGTTTGCGTATGAAAAATGGAGTACATTGCGTTAATTTGTGGCTTTTGTATTTCACAGACTTTTGTTAGCCCATTGGAGAATGCCATTGAAACGATGCAGGCCAGCAATGATAAGATACTAACCATGATCAACCAACACCATAGTGATCCCAACCTTTCCATCAACCCTCTCTCTATGCTTCTGAATGGGATTGTGGACCCTGCTGTCATGGGTGGATTCGCCAAATATGAAACAGTGAGTTGTCCGATAACTGCAGTGTGGCTACATAAAGGAAAGAAAGTCTTCACTTTTTTCCTGGTCTCTTGCCAGTCCTCAGGATGTTCCAAAGGACCGTGGAGCCAACAGCATTTTTTTGAAGGGTCTGAGGAAGGGTCACCGCACCCGAAACGTTAACTCTGTTTTTTCCTTCACAGATGCTGCCAGACCTGCTGGGCTTTTCCAGCAGTTTTGTTTTTGTTCCTGTTTTTTGAAGTGTGGCCTGTTGGGATGCAGGAAACGAGGTAGCTGGATCACGTACAGCAATGTTCCATCAAACAGCAGTGTGGCAATGAACAGATAATCGGTTTCTCTTGTATGAGGAATAATGGTGCACCTGCAAAGACCTTGTGGTTCCTCCCATCTGTCCCTCATAGATGTGATATCTCCTGTAAACAATCCCCACACCAACCTGACCATGTTTTGTGATGTTAGAGGAAGCATAATTATTTGTGGCTATCTAACATTATCAGAGGAATGCCTGAGACCTACTGGAATGAGGGAACAGTGATGGATGTATTAATTCAGAGTTAGTTGAGTTTGCTTTGGTTGTAAAAGTATGGGGAGGTAGTCATGATTACCAGCTTTATGGAATGGTTACTAACTGAGATGAAGCTCTCACTAAAAGTACAGACTTGAGTTCTGTTTAAGTACAGTTATCTTTTGGAGGATAATGATGTTGATCGGACAATGGAAAGAATGCCCTCGCTCTTCCTTCAAATACTGTCCAGGGGTCTTTTCCATCCACTTGGAGCCTTAGTGTGAAATTTCATTGGAAAGACGGAACCTCCCAAAGTACATTAGTCCATCAGTGTTGCAATGGATTGGCAGCTAAGATCCTGTTCCCATTTATGGGGCTTGAATCTTGACCCACTGGTGACACTTCATTGCCAATATCTGAGTCCTTGATCATACAGAACAGTTGGGAAGCACTACCCAAGGAGATGTCCCTGTAGATATAGGTACAGACAGTTAAGAGACATTTTCAAATCAACCTGTTCAGAGATGTTGTGGAACACCCCTGGAGCAGGTGGGACTTGAACCTGGATCTCCTGGTTCAGAGGTAGGGACACTTCCACTGCACTAACAAGCTTATTCTGCAGCCTGATTGAAGGCCTGGTAATTTTTTTTTCATTCATTTACAGGAGGCGGCTTCACTAGCTAGGCCAGCGTTTTCTATTGCCCAGAGGCTGTGAGTCTAGAGTCTCATGTAGGCCAGACCAGGTTAGGAAGGCAGGATATTAGTGAACCAGACATGTTTTGTTTTGTGACAATCATCGGTGTCTACAAACTTGCTGTTTTAATTCCAAATTTTATTGAATTCACATTTCAGCACCTGCCGCAATGTGAATTGAGCCCATGTCTGCAAGGCATTGGCCTACAGTTTTGTGTTGTTAGTCCAGTAACATAAGTATTACGCCAACATGTGTGCAGTTCTGGTCACCCTGTTATAGGAAGGATATTATACAACTGGAGAGGGTTCAGAAAAGGTTTACCAGGATGTTGCCTGGAATGGAGAGTTTGAGATGTAAAACTAGACTGGAAAGGCTGGGACTTTTTTCACTGGAGCATAGGAGGTTGAGGGGTGACCTTATTGAGGTTTATAAAATCATGAAAGGCATAGATAAGGTTAATGACAAGGATCTTTTTCCCTAGGGTGGGGGAGTTCAAAACTAGGAGGCATATTTTTAAGGTGAGAGGAGAATGACTTAAAAAGGACTTGAGGGGCAACTTTTTTACACAGAGAGTGATTTGTGTGTGGAATGAACTGCCAGAGGAAGTGGTAGATGTGGGTACAGTTACAGCAGCATTTAAAAGACATTTGGATAAATCCATGAATAGGAAATGTTTGAGGGGATATTTGGGCTAAGTGGAGGTAGGTAGGATGAATTTAGTTTGGGTACACGTTCGCTGTGGACTGGTTGGAATAAAGGGTCTATTTCCATGCTGTATGACTCTATTTCTCCATGATCACTTTCCTCACAGTCTGCTGGTTATGTTACCGGATTAGTAATCTGGTGATTAGCACTTCTGACATAAAGATTTATAGTTTACCACAGGTAGATGGTGAATTTAAATGTAATTGCACTAAAACCTGGAATAAAAGTTTGCTGCCAGCAATGTTGTCCATGAAACGATCAAATTGTAAAATCACAGCTGGATCACCAATGTTATTTAGAGAAAGCATTTACCACCCTCATTTACTGTGGGATTATGTGTGACTCCAAACCCACAGCAATACGGTTGATTTTTTCTTTTAAAATTAACCTGTTCAGACAGATGTTATGATGTATTTATTATATGCCTCTGGAGCAGGTACGTGCTTGAACCCAGGTGTTCTGATTCAGAATTTGGGACACTACCATTGAACCACAGGAATCCTCGATAGTTGAGCCTGAGGAATTGCCAGCAATGTGCGCATCACGTGAATAATTAAATTGCAATCATGCACTTCTGTGTGGAAATTCCACCAAGTAATGAACAAAGGCAACCACAAGGAGAATAAAATAAAAACAGAAAATGCTGGAAATACTCAGCGGGTCTGATGCCATCTTAATTAATATTTTGAGTCCAATTCAACTCTTCTTTGGAAACGGGTTTGTCCAGCACTTGAGATAACAAGGTGTAGAGCTGGATGAACACAGCAGGCCAAGCAGCATCAGAGGAGCAGGAAAGCTGACTTTTCGGGTCTGGACCCTTCTTCAGAAAAAGGCCCAGACCCGAAACAT